TTATATATTTGCGATCTGGCAGTTTTATCTTTGATCTTACCATCCCCTGTAAGACTTTTAACCTTATTTTCGAATTCAAGAGAATAATAATACCAACACAAAATTTGTTTTTGACCCGATTTAATTGCTTTATCAAATGAGTCGGATAAACTTTGCAAAGAACCTGGATCCATATCCTGTATACAAGACTTACTAATTTCAGTAAAATCTATCTTACCGTTATTCGAGGATGTGATTTCGGAAGAAACAATAATTTGTTCTTGATTACAAGTTATCTCTTGTATTAAACCTTCTACGATTTGATCATCTGATTCAAGTATTTCGGAGGAAGTGTCAGAATTGTTAAGATCGTGACATTTTGTCACGGTTTTTGCATCACATAATGATGAGGATGTTATTGTCTTTTCAGATTCCGTTGAAGTATCCTGATTAACTAAAGATAAGTCTTGATCCTGAGAAATGGAAACTTCATTACTATGTAATAGCTTTTTTTCCTTATTCCTCTGCCTTATCTCATTACTAACCCTTTTCTTATTTTCCGAATCTAAAAAGACATCAATTTCTTTATCTTCTAATGATTTGGATTTTCCGGAGCAAGTTTCACTAAGGTTAGATGTATTGGAAATTGTGTTAACTACCTGTTCTGAAGTTACTAAGTCAGTGCTAGTCATGGATTGATCCGCTTCGTGGTGAGTTGAAGAATCTTTAATCTGCGCATTTTCACCATTTGAGCAACTCTTGTTAGGTAATGGAGTGGAATATTCCGGAGATTTTAAATCATTAGTATCTATTCGATTTTGCTTTTCAATATTCTTAACAGCTCGTTTTAATTTTGCAATTTCATTCTTGAGCTCGGCATTTTCTGTTTGACTTAACTTTGTAGTCTGTTCTAATTCCACAATTCTAACCTCAAGCTTATTTTTTTCTTTCGCGATCTGTTCCAATTCATTGATTCTAGCCATAAGCTTGGCATTCTCTTGTTTCAATAAATCAATTTCGGATTGCATGTTTAACGATAACTTTTATACAAATGCGAATTATTCAAATATTATTTATTATCATAAATAAAAACAGTAACTTACACCCATTTATATGCGAGATAATTTATACACCAGTGTCACTTTATTGATAATAAAAATCACTTAAGAAAAATTCTCTATTATACAAAACGTATGGCAAATGTTATTTTATGTTCACTCCAAATACATTACATATATGCGAATTAACGATATTATAAATCAGGATTGGATTTCTGTTTCCACCAAGTACATGACAAGTTAAAAAAAAAAGAGTTTTTATTGAGATAGTTATAATAGCAGCCCTTGCCCTTGAAAGTTTACCAATTACGATTTTGATCCATTCGCAAGTTTTTTCGGAGTAAAGTATTTTCTCTCACGAAATTGTGAAGCAGATTTTCCAATTAATTCATGAAAAATTTTGGTATTATTTTGGGATCGTGCCTAGATAGATTTATATTAGTTAAGTGAACCACAATATAAATAAGTATATAAACAGAATACAAACCTTCCATGATAACACTTTACACACTGCTTCAACGCATTTTGGAAAAGCTTCAATTGTTCGTGGAATTGTAATATCCGTTAAACCAAGCATGCAAATTGTGTTCTCGAATGTATAAGAAGCTACATATAGTGATAATGAAAGTTCTGAAAGAATATATAATAATATTAGCTTATTATTAGTACTAAATTATCAAAACTCAATAAGACTATTTACCGTTTGTTTGAATCAGGTATATTTCGAATTTATAGATATCTGGACGTGCCACAGTTGGCAAGGCTAGATATGCACTGGCAAGTAACACTTTTGAACAATATTCTAATTTCGATAAATCATTCTTTCTTTTGTTGGCAGTGTCATATCTCCCATTCTCCTGAATTAACACTTCTTGACCAATCGACAAAATAGTCGCTCTCGAGTCCATTCTTGGACCACTTTTTGTTTGAATTTGGGCAAGTTTTTTTAATTTGTCATATGCGACAGATGCAATTTCCCCGCTGAATTGTGAAATAAAAATTAATCACAAAAAGTTCAAATTATAAAAATAATAATAGTCTTGTAATTCAAGCATACCTAGAAATTCGAATGTTCCCTTTCTCCAAGAAGGCATAGCATAAAAGTGGCGTCCATACGTATGAATTATACTCTGATTCAGTAAGAAATCGAGATAACATGTCGTTTGAATAGAGATTATACCTAAAAAAGCAAAAACATATGATATGAAAGGTTTAACATTTTGAAAATATGGCGACGTTATTATGAAATCAGAAAGGCTTTCATACATGTGATTAAAAAACTGGTAAGCATAACTAATGTCAAAATTAAGGTTTGGGCGATTGTGAACTGAATTCTTGTGCAGAGTTTGGCGCAATACATCTAATGACATCTGTAAAAAAATTAGGTTAGTCTAGTAATCTTTAATTTTGTAATAAACATGTAAACTTACACAATCTCGAAACTCGTTCAGAAATTCCATAACTTCATCATCAACGTCAATTGCAAACTTATTTATTCCAATTTTTTTGCCATCGTCAAAGAAGATTGAGTCTTCATCTTCATTTTCCATTTGTTTTTGAATATGTGTGATCATAGATGATGGTAGGGGTTGTATACATAAGTTGTTATGAAAATTAACAACACCAATATTTAATGGCCTAATCAAATAAAATGTATGTCAATAGAAAAATCAAAGGTGTGGTGTATTTCAGATGTATGAAATCTTTTACGTTTTAATATTCTTATTATCTCGAAAAGAATTACAGATATCAAAACCATCCCATAGCCATTTATGTCCTTTTAATGGACACAAACATAAATCCGTGAGCAACTTTTGTGCAAGGTCATGCTGAATATATTTGGGTTTATTTCTCGTAATCCTGGGTTTTGGCACATTGCCATATTCATCACTATCCAAAGGCTTTGAAATAGGTTTTCCAAGATTACTTTGTTCATTGACTTCTACAGATTCGTTATCATCATCATCGCCATCACCAAAATTTTTTGCCTCTAGAAAGATATTTGTAAGTGATCTTGGCACAATTTCAGAATCTGAGGAAGATTCCCCATTACAGAGTCCAAAATCACTGTTGTATCCCGTGTCCAATATTCTAACCTATGCATCCGAAAGGAAGTCAGAAGATTAAAAGATGTTTATTAGATAAATTTAAGTTATATACTAACCTTATTTGGAGGAGTTGATGGCAGTTCCGTATCATTTTCGCAAGCTCGCTTGTGCCCGGACGTTGAGTTACCTGATAATTTCTGTGAATATTATATTAGTATAATAAAAAAATATTTCATTGCCAACAATAATTCATACCAATGTGTTATTAATGTTTCCCATGGTACAATTAATGTTTCCAACAGCAGTTTTAAGAGTCTCTGCGGAGGTGCTTATCAACGAGCTAGTACCTTCAACCTGCAATCAATATAATGAAATATAGTTAATATAAAGCTCAACTTTATAAATAGACAAGAAAAACTACAACCTCTACATTCTGTAGCTGACTCCGTAGCTCAGCATTCAGTTCAATTCTTTTCCAAAAAGCATCAACATCGTGAAGAGTTTCACGATGATTCTCAAAAATAGTAAGAAATTAATGTTAATAAAAGTGTAACCTAACTAGTTCACGCGGAATTTGTATACTAAGTACAACGGACATTCCATCCATAAGGTTTACAACATTCCATTTTTTCACCGTAGTTGTAACGAGTTCCCATTTTCCCATAGCAGACATTCCATCCATAAGGTAGACAACATTCCATTGTCATCGTAGCTATGAGAGGGTCCCTCTGCTAATCAGCTATGCAGTGAACAGCAATAAACAAATACCTTCAAAATATTTTTCATTTGACTCGCAACTTTTTTCATTTTCTCAGAGCCCTCCTTCACGAGAAGATCTAGATCCATTTGTAGCTTGTATGCCTCTATCTTAAAAGAGAAGGTAAAGTCAACTTGCTTCGAACGGTACTCGTAAAAAGAAGAAACCGGTAGTCTTGAGGATTTGTTTCATTGAAATAAGCGCACCAACTGGTAGACATTGTTTTTGATAAATAAAAGCGCGATACAAAGAATCGAAGGTATATATTCGAGCATAACACATGGTATAAAACCGTGACAAAATGTCACGATCAGATTACTGCGCCACATTACTGCGCCCGGACACGCGTGTCCAGTTTTTCTGAAATTATCTTGTTTTATCATGCTTCTACACTATAAATAAATTATATCTTTTCCATATCGGGTTTATGAAATCTTGATCGTACCATGATGCATATGTAACCTCACACGAAAAATAACACATGATACATTATATGTTCCTCTAACCAAAAATCTTTATTAATAAATATACATGATAATAATACAGGATAAAATACATGATATACAAAAAAAAATCTATTGTTAATCGTGCTTCGGTGTAGTAACAGTGGGACTTGGAGAAGTATTTCGAGGTGGATGTGAAATGGCCTGTTCTATAGCATGTTTAAGCAGATTCTTATTTACGATTATAATATTTCTCAAGGTCAGTAGCAATCTTATTAAGACCTTTGTACGCCATTTCACTTCTGGGGTTAATGGAATTTCTGCATGATCTAAATGGAAGTATCTTGGTATTCCACTTGCATCGTTAACAAAGATGTTTAAATGTATTTTTTCACCAGCTACTTGGATCCCGACCACACCAAATTGATTGCAAATAGGTCTGCATACAGAACTTATATAACTACTTCCATCTAATAATTCTTGTCATAATTTTATCTCATCATCTGTTTTTTTAGTGGCACTATAGACAATGCGAGAACTTTCTACATATAAAAACTCCACCAATTTCCCATCACAATTTTCTAGAGCCATAATATCAGGTTTTTTCCCCATTTTCACTTTACCAGTTCCATCATTTCTACGTACCTTACTCACTAAACTTTGACACTCGGCTGTGCTCAAACAGATATATCTATTTGGTAAGTCACCTAAACTAGCTCAAAGTAATGGCATGATTACGTCTGTAATGTAAGTCCCTTCACTTTGCATACTACAGGTTGTACTTGTAATAAAAGCCAGATTAGACCATATATCCCCTCTAAATTTACAAATATAAATTAGTGAAGTCACAGAGGTTAGTAAATATCTAGTTACTTACAATACACCAAGTATTCGTTTCGCCATTTTTAATAATTCAAACTTATCCTCTTTCCATGTTTTATCATGCATAATATTTCTAATATGTTCAAAATTATCTATTTTGTTAAAGTTTTCTATAAACTCGTTAACCCTAGAAGAAATTAAACGAGGAACTCCACACTTTATATTCTCTCGAGGTTCCTAGATAATAATAGAAATTATTGTTATTTCAGTGAAAGTCACTCAAGATAATATAAGAAAAGGATACCGTAGTATATATTGTTACAAAGTAACTAGGTTATATTTCTATCTTTATCATAAAAGTACGTCTTTGTCTTTGATTTAGATTTTTAACTATATCCAGCTCATCACTGAGAACTGTACTTGCGATTGGATTTTTTCAAGTGAGTTCAGAGATATCTAAATTTTCATCAATACTTTTTTTAAGAGTCCCATAAAGATTTACATCCGCGTCAGTCATAGATGAACTGAGTTTCATTTTCAATGTTCTAATGTTTTGTGCAATATCTTCTTGAGTATAATCTGGAGATGATTCTTGATTTATATTCAAAGCCTTTAATGCCTTTAATCCGATAATAGTATTGTAACCACTTTCCATCTACAGCAAATGTAATAAATTTAAAAATGTGATCACAAAAATTAGTCCATATTATACTAAAGATACCCTGGGGATTTTATTGTTTTGCAGTTATAATATTCAATAATCAGATACGTTTAAAAATGTATTTCTATTCTTTTAGCTAAAATGGCCACGCATGGTCAAGGGGGAACAGAAACCCTTGATATCATAAAGAAAGAATCTTGACAATTTCACTCTTCCAGGTCGGCATTCCTTGAACACTAGCTATGGTCAGCTAAAAGAATTGCATTTACATTTGCTGTATTTCATCATTAATACCGAAGTATAATAGTATATTACTTACTTCCATCAATATATTCACTACTTTTTCTTTTCTCCCCTTATTTTCTATTTTTTGTGACGCAGATCGTACTGCACGTTCTGTTGAATTTCTAATAGTATTATAATCTGCTACTTCATCTCCATTCATGGTTAGGTAAAAAATAGATCCACTACAAATAGATTCTAAAGGAGCTTCTAACAAAAAGGATTTGATTTCTACTATTAATCTTGACATAGTGAAAATAAAAATTTTAATTGTGTATAGGTAATGTTATAGTAAAGACGTGACTAAAGCTTTTAACAACACCGCCATACTCTCCTTTTAACTCGTCTTATTATTCCTTTTTAGTATCTCAAAAAAAGTCGGTATATGCACGAAAACAAAGAATATGTATATACTCCATGGTAAGATACTTGAATATAGATAAAAGTCCACAACAGGAAAAAGATATCGTATGCACAAGAACAAAGGGTATGTATATATCTCGAGTCAATTAATCAAACCAGGTTATCGATATCACTATTTGTAAAAGTACAACATATCAGATTAGTTTTGCGATATAAAAATAGTGGAGCAGTAAAGCTAATAAAAGTATAAAAATGATGTTATATATCCGTTTTTGAGATATTTTTCACATAGATATGCAGGGTGTAAGGGGTGCTAATTAAATTTGGTAATCAGTGTATCGCATGACCTAATGATGCATGCAGGTTCTATTACATTCGAATTCCTTCTATGGCATATATCACATGATAGGTTGATTATTTTAGCAAAGATGTCAAGTTACACAAGTTATTACTTACCATAAGTGTCATGTTATACAATAAATATATTGCGAGAAAATTACGTGTTAATAATCATAGTTAAAAACGGTTCGTTGTCAACATCTGCTCATGTTAAAAGTCTCACAACTATTTACCAGTACAATTTATGAACCAGTTTTAGTACTTATATCCGAGAATAAACTATATACTTGAAATAGATTCCCCTTTTCATGTGTCAATCACAGTTGGATCATTCGTTAATTTCATATTCTCTGTCAATCCTCATGAGTAATCGTACATAACTAGATAATATCTATTGCCTTACAATAGGCTCTGCCTACACGAGCGATTTTATATAAATACCAATATCCGAACTCAAGATTCTTTACTTTTCTAAAATTTCAGCGATTCCCCCTCCAAAATAATTTAATTTTTTACAACAAATTTTATCGTAACAAATATGCATCTTGTTTATAAGTCAACCTTACCAGTTTGAATTAATGAACTGGAAAATCATATTGGTAATATAACATCTGAAACTCTTCACAGCTCTAAAAAGATATGTTCTCTATTTTGAGTTGGATCTGAGGAATAGAGTATTTCTATTTGAGTAAGATACTAAAGAGCTGAACGATAATGAGCTAGAAAGATTAACAATGTTCTCAACAGTGGATAGTCTCGATTCTGTTCCCTTACACACTGAAACGTTAAATTAACAAAAAAATGAATCCAGGTATTCTATAGTATATAATTGATAAAATCTAATAGGTCTAAATCTCCTAAATACGATATAAATCACATAATCTCTAAAAACACTCAATCATTAAATATGGTCTATACAGATAGTTGTCCAGTTTTAAACGATATTGAGTGGAGAGATAATTGTCAATTCCCAGTGATCCGTAAAGGTGAAACTCCATCTGATTGGATGAAACGAAT